AGGGCATGCTGCAGGAGGACGGGCCCCAGGGGAGGGCGTGCTGTGGGGGGATGGGCCCCAATGGAGGGCATGCTGCAGGAGGACGGGCCCCAGGGGAGGGCGTGCTGCAGGGGGATGGGCCCCAGGGAGGGCATGCTGTGGGGGGATGCCTCTTTCTCCCATTCCCATGTTTTTTCAGCTCTATAAAATCAGGGCTTTTGCCATCCTGCAAATGCTTGGAGACACGTGGCCTTCCTCCCCTGAGCAGCTCCTTCTGGAAGGGGCAAAAGACCTCACCTGGCTGTGTCCCTGGAGAAGGGTGGTGAGGAGCTGCAGAGGGCAGAGGCTCCTGGGGGGGGGGGCGGCCCATGGCAGGTCAGTTGGACTGGGTGGGGGAGGGCAGGAAGGGTGGCGGCTCTGGATGAGCGGGCACTGCACCCCTTGGAGATGCACCTGCTTCCTGATGGGCTGGGAGGAAGGCCTGGAACCCAGCCTGGCTAGAGGGAGGCGGAAGAACTCAGGTCTCTTGCTGTCCAACCTCACACGGTGTGTAATTAGCGTCCCCATGCAGCCCGGAGGGACCTCTTGGGATAGCGGTTCCCCACTGCACTTGGAGCAGACCTGCGCTTCCTGCTATGGTTTACATAACGTGGCCTCTCTGAACTCATGCTCTCTCCCTCTGCTCTGGCCCCCACGGGACGTTTTGCACCAACATTCTCCCTGGCTCGCCGCACAGGTGATCACTCATTCTGCATGACCAGTGGTGTGAGGAGGTGAGATGCAGATGAGGTGGCTGGTGCTACAGCTGCCTTCGTGGACCAAGGGGGTGAGGGAGGCAGCTGTATACCAAGGACGGCCAAGCAGAGACAGGAGCCTGATGACCACACACAGGCCATGCCAGCCTGGAGGGCCCACACCTGGGCTCCCAGGTGAGAAATACAAACCCTCTATTAAGCCACTGCTAACTCCAGTTTCCACTGCAGCAGTCACATGCAGGTTCTAACCAACGCGGGGCCGTGAGGGAGAGAGCTGGTGTCTGTGCCTTGGAAGGCAGGACTGAGGGCTGGGAGTTGACTGTGCAGGCAGGATGGGTCTCTGCGTCTGGCGCGGGCAGACTTGTGAGCCTATGAGCAGAGAGGTTGTGTGTGCCCAGATGAGAGGCACAGAGGGCCGGGGGGAGGGGGCAGCCCAGGCAGCCACGTAGAGCCTGGTGAGGCACCATGACCCAGCCAGTGCTGACCAGGCACGACCCATCCGTGGTGGTTGGCAAATTATCCGGCAGGGAGCCCTTGCCCCAGGCAGCCTCTCCGGGAAGCCCTGACACCTCCCCACAATCACGCAGCTTTGGGGCTCAGGCCGAGTGCCCACCTGGCCAGCCCATGCTGACCCATGGTCAGTTGCATGGGCTCTCAGCCTGGCCTCTGGCCTCCATCCCAAGCTGCCCAGAGATACACCCCAGTGTTGCAGAAGACCCAGGTACTCCTGGGAGGGCAAACCTGGGTGACCAGGGAGGAAGCCTGTGCCCTTTCCTGGCTCTCCAGCCCAGGGGCTTTCTGGAGCACCATCCGGCTCTATCCACCCACAAACAGGAGCCGCCTGTGGCTTACTCACTCCGTATTAACTGACTCAGAGCTCACTGTGGCTCAGAAGACGTGTCTCCATCTCCCATGGAACAGGCGGGGACACTCGGGCATGGAGGTGATTCTGCTTTCTCCTCTGACCCTGGCCTCATTGAAGCTGGGGATTGGGGGGGCCTGGCCTCCCACCTGCCCTGCGATGGAGCTGGGCCACCTCATCACCCGTGCAGGCCACTCACTGTGGCCACGGCCAGGGCCCAGCACACAGGTGTGGGGAAGGCTGACTCTGGCCACAGCCTTCCTTCCCAGGATCCACAGCCACAAGCCCCAGTGGCAGCCTGAAGGGGGGGCTGGGCCAAGTGGCTGCACCTGGCACAGCAGAGGAGTGAGCCCCAACAGAGACCCTAGCCAGTCCCTCCAGTCAGGGGGCTCTGCGACTCAGACTCTGGCCCTCCTACGTCTCCAGGGCAGGGGCTCTTCCCTTGGGCTGCACAAGGAATTGCCAGAAAAAAACCAGAATCATGAGTTCGAGACCCTGCCCCGCACCCATCCAGACTGAGCTCTGCTGCTCACACCCTCCCGACTGCACCTGCTCCCCCTTGTCCCTCGGCTGGGCTGGGCGGGGCCCCAAGCGTTGCTCAGGACCGGCCTGTGGGCTCCCCGCTCAGCGTGAGTGCAGAGGAGGCCATGGCTACAGCCCCTGCTAGCCCCTGGTGGTGGCCTGCCACCGGGTCCAGGGCATCGACGGCCGTGCCAGAAGTGACCTCTCGTTCCTGGGGCACAGTCAGAGCTGCACCCTGCTGCCTGCCCTTTCCGTGACCCTGTCTCTACCACCCAGAGTCCCCACTCTGATAGCAGGGGTGGCCTCAGAGGTAGAGGGACAAAAAGACCAGGGCCAGCAATGAGCAAGGGGCCAGGCTGCGCTGGGCCCCAGAGGCCCCTGGAGGGCTGGGGTCAACCCTTTGGCTGCCCGAGAGAAGGGGGGAGCAGGTTCTGGGTGCGGCGCGACCTGGCGGCTGAGTCGGGACTCTGACACCCGGAAGGAACCCGCTTGGGGGTAGCAGCCTGGTTTCTTCTGTGGAAGATAGGCCAGGGGCCCTGGATGGGGCAGCCAGCGGTCTCAGGCCTCAGAAACCCCTCCTCTGAACCCCACTCAGAGCACCCCGTCTTCAGAGAGCGCTTCCTGCAAGGTGGTGTCAGATAAAGGAGGTGCCGGAGGCGAGGTGTCAGCTCAGCACCTTCCTGAGGCCCTTCATCTAATTCATTAGAGAGACTGAGGAACGACCACTCTGCACAGGTGCCTGGGTTGGGGGGCTGAGCTGCTCTGCCCCAGGACCCAGACAGCAGTTCATTCCCAGCTGCCCGCCCTCCAGCCACCTTCCCCAAATGGTCCAGACCCCGCTAAAGACCCCAGGCAGGACTTCTGGGCCAGCTCGCCTTGCACACCGGGGGCTCCTCACCCATCCACACCACTGCTCTCCCCACCACGGATGACTCCCGGCCCTTCCTGCTCCAGGCTCCGAGGCTGATCACCCGGACTCTGGGCATCCTCCGCAACCCTGTCTTTCCATGCTTGCTCATATACGTCTGCCGAGAGGGGCCGTCCGCCTGTCCACACCTTGGACAACACCTGCCCAACGCAGGCCAGGACACAGCAGGTGAGCAAGAAGCACGGTCATGCACGCACAGACCTCCCGATGGCACTTCGCTCCGTTTCACAAAACTGGCCTAGAAGCCAGTGTGCAGCGGACCCGCCTCCAGACGAGCATGGGGGAACATGCTGTCCTCTGGCCTGGACACTCGGCACCTCCCCTCGGCATGCTCATCGCCTGCAGCCTCACCACCAGCTACCACCCTTTCCAGCTACGCGGGTCCCATATCCCAGAGGACTCTGGGGGCCAGCTGTGTGAGCTCGGGCAGGCTCCTCTTTTGGGGTCCCTGGATATGTCGGGGGGTCACAGTTCCTGCCTCCCCCGGGGCCTCAGGACAAGCAGAGAGTGAGTGCCAGGCCTGGGCCGCTTCTCAGGGTCTTCGCCCCTGCTGCAGTTCGCCTCCACGAAGCTCAGCACACAGTAGGTGCCCCACAGTCAGCTGCTGGGCTGTGAGCTCGGGGAGGCCTCTTCCCTGCTCCCCACAGGACACACAGGGGCCAGCAGATGACCAGGACCAAGGGCCCCAAGGAGGTCTGTGCTGCGGTTTTTCCTGAGCTGAACCCTCCAAGTGCATAAATCCTGAGTTAACGGGAACTGCTGAAAAGGAGGGTAATTAGGAGGAGCTAACACATTGCTGCTATTAGCGGAAGTCAGTTCTCTGGTGATGTTCACGGCCCCAGCCTGGAAAGTGGGGGGCTTACCTAGAGTATGGCCCCGCTCTGCCCACAGTGCCCCCCATCCCAGGGAGCCCTGGCGGAGACGGGGCCTGGACATGTGGGGAGGCCACCTGTCCTGCAGCCCCACAGGTGGGGGTCTCGGGAGGAGGTGTGGGGGGCTTACCTTGTCGTCCCCTTCACTCTCGCTGTCACACTGCAGGGGAGAGAGAGGAGAGTCAGCGCCCCATCGCACCCCGTGGCAGGGCAGGGGTTGTGGGAGGGGCCTCGCGGGTGAGAGGGCCTTGGGGGGCCTGGGAGGGATCTGGAGTTTGGAGTGCCAGCGAGGCGCTCGGTGAAGGGCTCTGGGGGCGGGCCAGGCAGAGGTGAGGCAAAGAAGCATGCTCAGCCAGGCAGGTGCATCCGCCCCAGGACAGGCACCGGGGCCCAGAGCGAGCCATGAAGCCTGCCTCCTCACCCCAGGCTACGCTAGGGGCAGCGTCACCCGGTCTTGGGACAGCTGCTACCCTGTGACCCCCTCAGGCCTTCTCCCACATGCGACTCTCCAGGCGGGGGTCCAGGTGACAGGTGAGGAGCTTGCACTCCTGGGCGGTGGGCACTGATGGGGGCCCAGGGTAGGATCAAGGATGCCCTCTGGGCAGGGACATGGAAGCCCAGGCTCAGCAGCCCCAGCTCTACTGAAGGGGCAGAGGGGGGCTTGGATCCCTTGGACAGACGAGGGGGTCAGCCCAGGCCTGTGGCCACAGGCACTGCCTACAGGGAGGGTCGCCTCGCGTGCCCCTGCAGCCTGGGTATAAGCCACTTGACGTGCTCGCTCAGCTGGTTAGAGAAAGGTTGGTAATCGTGCAAACAAATCTTTGTTTTCCATCTTCAGTAGGCAGAGCTTTAAAAAGAAAAGACTGCTTTTCTAGAAACCACGGCAATTTTCCCCTAAAAGAATATAAAGAAAAATAATCCCTTCCTAGGAACCACAATTACAACATGTCGTGTCAAATGAATTCTGCCGCTGAAAATAAATCTCCTGGGCCACATGTGAGGGTGACAGGCCCCCGTCAGCTGTGCACCTTGCTGTCTGTGTGGTGTCCTCCAGTTGGTCAGCGCAGGGAGGGGGTGCCCTGCCCTTGGCGCCCCAGGGGGAGGGATGGGCCCCGTGCTCTACCAGCCACCCACTGCAGCTGGGAGTGA